TACAGAATCTCTGCAGTTAACACTCCTCCAAATCTACTATGTATTATGTTAGTTCTGAAGAAACTGAGGCACAGGGAAGTCATATAACTCACCTAGGATCACACAGCTGGTAAGCAATGGCATAGAGAATCATTATTCCATGTAGTGCTTATGAAATTCTTGATGTGTAAAAAGAGACTGTGAGAAAATGGGACAATCTTTGACTGCCAGTGCTTGTCGTTCAGTGGAAGACTGCCAATGAACAAGTTAACGGTCGTTCTGTAGGTCGCTAGGTATGCACAAGCTGTGGCAAGCTCATCAATAGTATAGACTGGGCAGCTCTTAGCTGCATTATGAATGGACCTGGAGAGGTGAGCAGGTGCCCCAGGAAACCCTGTCCTGACAGAAAATCCTAGGAAGCTCAGTGGAACATGGAACGCAGAGGAAAGGGCACAGCAAGGTCAAGGCTCACCTTGCAAGTGTGATGGAAAAAGAAAGTTCCTTCCTGTTTGTCAAGCTTTCCAGTGTTAATTGGACATTGTGTCCCCCAGGAATTGCAGCAGACACAGGCTGCAGTGACCCTAATCCAATTTAGAAGTGTGCTTCTGCACCTCGGGTGAGATGCCTTCTTGCATTGAAGGTAATCTTTCTTGTGCTCACAGAAAGTCAAAGACAAGAAAAATGTCTTCCCTGGACATATGCTTTTAATCAGCCTCTAAATGGTACAAAAAGTTACCATTTTTCAAATCAGGTAGCTTTTCTTGAAAATAGATTTTTGATATTTTTTCCAGTGCATTCAAGAGAAACATTTTAACAGAATAGTTACTCTGAATAGAAAATATAAGTGAAAACGGAAATTAATTTAGGTAAACCAAAAAGGCATTTTCAACTAAAACCATTTCAAGAGGATTAAACTAACCTTCAGCAGGGCTTGAAAAGACCATTATATTTCTTGTATATGAAACAATACTTATCATTTGGTAAAATACCACAGGTTCCCACAAGAAACAATGGGTTTCCCCTCTCACCCTAAGACTCTGTGACTGTTCCATGTGATAACCTTGGCCCCTTTGAGTTAATGACTTCTAAATGATTGCCATATCACAGTGTCTTCCTTGCCAGCCCTTCCTACCATTTTCTTTCCCTAACCCTCCCAGCAGATGGGCTAAAAATAAAGAATGCACTGGCTGGAAGGTCAGACCCTAGTCATTTGTTCTTTAATCACAACTACTGGAGACACTAACCAGTGCATTCAAGAGAACAGGGCACTCGGGACTTGGATAGAGAAGTGACCCAGCATTGCCATACTGGCTAGGACTTATATTGTCATAGTATAACTGAGTGCAGTTGTAGGTTTATTGACAGTCTACATATTGCTCATTTTCAAGTGTTTAACAACTTTTTAAAAATAGTAGATTTGTAGCTGGGTACTGAGAATCAATCATTTCTCTCTTTTCTTCCAGTGCCATCTATACAGTGATGTCCACCAGCCTGGGACCTGAAGCCACCGTCAGGCTAAACAACTGTAGTTACTCTTCCCTGTCACCGACACAGGCGAGACTAATGTGCTTTAAATCCCAATGGAAAAATTGTATATACACATCCTAGACTCTCTTGAGTCCCGAGTTCATGTATCAACTATCGATAGAATACATTGCTTTCCTAAAAGGTCCTTGACATTGAACATGGTGACATCAGAACTACTAACCATGTTTGTGTTCTTATTTTGTTGGTCTTCTGTGTTAGTGGAGAGCCCACCATTGACCTCGGTGTCGAAGTTAAAGCCCCAATTTATCCCTTGTTCTTTACCTGCTAGGCACAGCAGTTCCTAAGCAGCAGCTTGGCCTCTCCTTCCGAAGCTGGAATATTTGGACTGAGTCAGTTACCCCTGGGTACAAGCTTGGCGAGTTCTTATTTCTACTATTTCCTACAACCTCCAGTCTGACTCCACCACAGATGTTCTTGCCTTTGCACACTTTGTGCAGCATTGACTCTTTACGTGGGATCGAGTGTCAATCCCCGCTTACAAGGCTCCAAAAGAGTTGCTATCAAAGTAAGAACTGAGCACCTGACCTGGTCCCATGTCTTGCTAGTCTGCTCACCTGCCCCCAGGTCGAAAGAAGTTCCCCTTGGTCTACATGTTCTTGTGTCTTCTACAGTCTGCTCATGGCCTTCGACTGGCTGCTGACCATTGCAGGCAAGGGTGCTCCCTCTTATCAAGGTATCAGCTATTACATTCCCAACTTGCTGAGACCTTGTTAGGTGACTGAATTACTCTCTGGGTTTTCTTGATTCAGTTTTCTTGTCTCTCATCCTGCTTAGATGTGATTTCTTCCTCCCTCTCTCCCTCCCTCCCTCCCTCCTTCCCTCTTTTTTTCCATCTTTCTTCTGATGACAGGTGAACGAATGTGGAGCTGTAGAGTGGACTGCCTGATTTGTTTTACTTACTTTCTAGTGTTTTTACATAAAAAATATAAGAAATTTTGAGACATAGCCAAACCAGTGGCATCTCAGTGTGGGAGAAACTTCACAGAATGTCCCTCATCTGTGCTACTCTTTTGCTTCTTTAGTGAAAGGAATGCAAAGTTGTAGGCTCACTCCAGTTCCCCAGAGTAGAAACAGAACACAAAGGAATTTGGGGCCTGTTTCTTCTCTTTTCTCTTTTAAATTATCACTCAAAATAGCCTGTTTCCTGAAAGGTGTTTCCTTGCATAGTTTGGTTTGATTCCTACTTGTCCATCTGCCCACCCCACCCCTACTGCCTTCTTCTCCGGGTCACTCCCACTCTCTCCTTCCCAGTTCCACATCACCTGTGTCTCCTATTGTTCTCCAGATCCCTCCCCTAAGGCCTCTTAATCTCCCCTTCATGGTAAGTTTTGTAGTTTCCCGGCCCTGGATGCTAGGGTCTACACATGAGAGAGGAGACAGAGTACTTGTTTTTCTGAGCCTGGGTTACCTCACTTAGCATAACTTCCAATTCCATTTACTTCCCTGCACGGTTCATGATCCTATTGCTTTCTACAGCTGATTAAGATTTCATTGTGGCTGGGCAGTGGTGGCGCACGCCTTTAATCCCAGCACTCGGGAGGCAGAGGCAGGTGGATCTCTGTGAGTTCGAGGCCAGGCTGGACCGACAGCCTCCAAAACAATACAGAGAAACCCTGTCTCGTAAAACAAAAAAAAAACAAAACAAAAAAAAAAGATTTCATTGTGTCTAAGTGCCATGTTTTCTTCATCGTTCTGTTGTTGTTGACACGGTGGGGAAAGAAAACAACATAAACATGGATGTGCAAGAGTCTCTGTGGTAGCACGTAGAATTCTTTAGGACCCACGCCCAGGAGTGGTTTACCGAGTCATATGGTAGTTCTATCTTTAGTTCCTTATGAAGGGGTGTCCACATTCGTTTCCACAGATAAATCCATGCTCCCAGTAGCTGAATAAGGATTCATTGTTCCCCATATCCTCACCCGCGCTCGTTATTTGTTTTCTTGCTTGTAGCCATTCTGAATGCTGTGAGACAAGATCCTGAAGTAGTTTTAATTTGCATTTCCTTAATTTCTAAGAATGTTCAACACCTTTAAAAATACTTGCTGGCCATTTGTTTTTCTTCTTTTGAAAACTGTTCAGTTGGTTCACTGACTCATTTATTGGTCAACAGTTTTATTTTGTTGCTATTCTTTATGTATGCTATTTATTAACCTCCTGCCTGAGGAGTGGCAGGCAGAGTTTTAGCTTATAGGCTATCAGTTTACTCTGTTGACAGTTTCTTTTGATGTGCAAGAACATTATGATGTCATGTAATCTTGCTTGTCAATTCTTGGGGCTATTTTACTTTTCTTTCCTTTTTATTTTTTTGCTTTAAAAGTTCTAGTCATAGAGTTCTTTACTATGCCTTGGAGTGTTTAACTTTTCTTTTGTTTAGGGTTTTAAGTGAAGGGTCTTTTCGTGTAAGGTGAGATATATGGATCTAATTTTATTCTTGGTAGGACTTTCATAGCATGTATGCGTATGTATTTTTTTCTGGAACCCAAATATCTGTATAATTTCTCTAGGTTCTCTCTCTTCTCTTCAATAAATACCCAAATTGAAAAGCCAAAGACTGAAGAAATAAATTTCCAAAAAGTTATTGAAGGGACCAGACCTTTACCCAGCCCCTGCTTTGGCAGCCATGACAGGCTTCAGAAAAGACCTAGCAAGACATAGGCCCCTGACTCAGCAACATATGCTGAGCTCCTGACCTTGCTCCCTCCATGTGGCAAGGAAACAATCAGAAGTTAGCTGGCAGAGCATAGCAACCACCCTGAGAGGGCCTCTAAGCATAGCAACGTTCCTGAAGCTGCAGCTGACCAATCAACTCAGGACAGGTTGCCAAGCCTGGAAGGGCACCAATCCTGAGACTGTTGCAGGCCCAGACAGTTCCCTGGCTCTACCCCAATGTGTTCCCTGCCCCACTGCTGCTCAAGGTCCTTCCTAGTTCCCACCTGCTTCACCCACTTGTCTTGTCAGATGGACAGGGAAACTGAGTTAACTTGTAAAGTTAAAGACACTGCTTTTGCATCAGATTGGGTCTCTTGGTGATTTTGGGGGTTCAGAGTTTGGGCACAGCATTATGGAAAAGATGTGTCGTGTTTGAGTATAAAATGTCTCCCATAGGCTTCTGTGTTCAATGTTGGTTCCAGGTAAGTGATACAATTTTGGAAGGTGGTGGAAATTTTAGGAGCAGGTCAGGGAAGTAGTTTACTGGAGTCAGGCCTATGAAGGTCATACCTGTTCTCCTGTCCCCTTTTCTCTAAACCTTCTTGTCACCAAGAATTGAGCAGCCTCTTCTACATGCTTTCAACTGTTACAGTGTTCTGCTCAAGTACATGAGACTGAGCAACAGGGACTGATACATCTGAAATCATAACCAAACTGTTGCTTTTCCTTTAACTGTTCTCTCAAGTATGAATACAAAAATATACAATACAAGGCTTCCTTGTTCTGTTGGTTGCAATGGGGTATGTTTCATGTGCTATGATGAATTCTAAGACCCTGAGACCAGATTTTATTCACAGTGGTGGTATTTTTCTGAAAAACAATCTTTGTGAAACAATTTTTGTTATGCTTCTTTCCCAATTTGAGAAATAGATGGCAACCCTTATTAAATTAGTTAATGTCAAGAGCAGTTTCTTAAGATTCATGATTTGATTTCTGCAGGGAGCTACATTAGGTACCAGCTGCCATGTGTCTTCAGAAACCAATAGAAACCAGTTCATGTGCTTAAACATAATCACCCTAGACAGCCCAGGCAGAGATAAATGGTGTACTGATGTGTCAGAAGAGGGACACAGTGGGTAAACAAGACTTCATCTCATTCCTGAATGTCATCTAAGTGGACTTCAAGTCAGAGATTATGTTACAATGCTCACTGACATGAGACAAAGCAAGTGTGTCTTAAACAAGCGTGTTAACCAAAATAGTATAAGAAAATTTTCAGAAATAGTTAATTGCAAAGTTATTCATTATACACACTCAGTTAAAATAATGAAAGCTTGGAAACTCTAAGTTTCCTTTGATAAATAAATGGCTGAATAAGTTAGGGAAATTCTGAAGACCATTTAGTTAAATTATATTGACTAAAGTATAGAAATATAGGCAGATACCTGCAATATTGGCTTTGGGAGGTTGGGAGGTTGAGGCAGGAAGAGTGTGAGCTCAGCTTGGGCTACACAACAACAAGACTGCCTCCCCAAAAGAATGCACACACACACACACACACACACACACTCACAGAGAGAGAGAGAGAGAGAGAGAGAGAGAGAGAGAATATCCTAGTTCTAAATGTATTACATAAACATAGCTTTAGAATGTCTTGAGTTACAATAGCCTCATATTAATTAAAAACAATACATAGAGAAAACAAATGAAGGAACTATATTCACTTAGCTAACACATGCTAGTTCAGTGCTGTGCATTATTTAGGATAGAGCTGACACTTCAGATACACTGCTCCCAACACCTCCTCAACATAGATGCTTCTGACTAGAGGATGGTGCTTTATCTCATGACCTGTAACCTTTCCTTGCCCTCCTGGTCCCTCATGTGGGGAGTCAGTAAAAGCCCAGAAGCCTTGCCCAGAGTCCTTAGTAGATGGAGGAAGAGAGAAGCTACCTCAGTGCTCTAGATTTTCAACATCATCTCACAGGAATTAGGAGCCGCAATTCTAGAGTGGGATTCATTGACTTGGGTTTTGACTATAAACGCACAGATGCGATCTGAACACACTATCGGGACTTCAATCTTCAGTGGAGCCAACATGCACAATCTAACTCTCCTGGAGAGGCAGGTGCCCAGAGACGGTGTGCTTCTGTTACTTTTCTGTTGTGATGGAACAGTATGACCAAAAACACTATAAAATGGGTTTTAGTTTCCAGATGGGAAGTTTGATAATGGTGAGGAAAGTCCGACAGCATGTGGGTGGAGCAGGAAGCTGAGAGATCACATCTTCAACCGTAAACAGGAACCACAGAGAGCGACCTGGGAGAGGGATGAAGCTATGAATTATTGAAGCCCAGCACATTGATATATTTCCTCCATCAAGTTTGAATCCTCCATACACAGCCCTACTAACTGGTGAGCACACATTCAAAGTCAGCCTATGGGGATATTTCTCACTCAAACCACCACAATCCCTAAAAGTAATTGTAATGAGAAGCTGACTCATTTTTGTCTTCTCTAACACAACAAACAGGTCCAGGAGAAGGCGAATTACACCGTCAGTCTTAGAGGATAAATTCACATCAGGGATCAGAGTTGGATATATTTATAAGAAGTTCTACATGCTGGCTTTATTGCATTTCAGAGACTTAGATCACTGAAACCTAAGTGTTCAGGGAAATCACGTGATGGAAATGAAGAAAAAGGAAAAGGAGTTCTGGAGGTCAGTCAAATTGAAACTCCTATATTTCAAGCAGCCAAGTTTGTGTATATGGTCCCATTTTCCAGTGTCTCTCAGCATATGGTTTAGCCTACATGCTAGCAGCACAGTCTTAAAGTCTCCTCCTACAGGTCTCCACAGTACAAACCAAGAGTCAGAAACAGTAAAGAGAAAAGCAAGACAGACAGCACTGTTATTCCTAGCTCTGTAGTTGCAGAAGCGGGAGTTGGCATCAAGGAAGCAAAGTTGACACCAAGAGGAAACGTGACAAGAGGCATTTTCCACAGAGACACACAGGCCAAGAGCACTAGACAAGATGGGCTGCAGAGTAAAGGGTGTGTGTACTGAGGCATATACCACAGTGACTCGGTCCACAGAGAAGAGTTGTCAGTTGGAAACTATCCTCTCCAATATGTTCTAGCCATACTAAGATCCACCTGGAAAATATGTGTGGGTTTTTTAGTGTTGCAATATAAGGGACCAATATATGGAGCTTCATGTTCTCCTCTCTACAGGTATCAATATAAATGTGAGAAACTAGCTTTGAAAATGACACTTTTTACCCCATCAGCCTCTTGGCATGAACACTTATCAATAAGAAATAAATGGCACCTCTAGTTTATGACTGACAAGATGATAGGAGAACTTATTAACAACGAGGTCCTGGGGTTCTGAAAAACAGACCTAAAATTTCACTTTTGAAGACCGGAAATACTGGCCCAAACCATAGAATTATAACCAACTGAACCATCTGACCATGATCCAGGTCTATGTACAGAGAAGTAGGGTAAGAAGCACTACATATGATTTGCAAGATGGAGCAGTTCTTTTGCCTATAACATGAGTAAAATGTGCTGGAAAAGTGGTACAGCCCAGAAGAGTCCACAGCATCCCAGCTACTTCAACAGGTCCCATCCAAAGAAATCAGAGCAGTGAACATAACCAATGATTACTGAGAGCTGTGGACTATCTATCACTTGGTCTTTCTTTTCTAATTTCTCCTTTTTTCATGCTAATTTACAGATAAATGGCAGATAACTAGATACTTGTATATGTGTATGTGTGTGAGCATGTGTGTGTGTGTGTGTGTGTGTGTGTGTATGTGTGTGTGTAGACTACAGGTCAATGTTGAGTGTCTTCTTCAATTATTCTTTTCTTTATTATTTGAGATAGACTTTATCATTAGTTGGAGCTCACTAATTTTGACTGGCTGACTGATAAAGCCTGATAGCCCCAGAGACCATCCTGACTCTGCTTCCCTGGGCTGGGATTGGAGACATGTGTTATTTATGTGGCTCCATGGGATTACACTCAGCTCCCCATGCTTATTCTGCAAGCACGTCACTGACTGAGTCAGTTCCCCAGCCAGACTCTTTATTTTTTTAAAGAAACTGGCAAGTGCACCATTTCTTAAGTGCCAGAATTCCTGTTTTATCAAAAGAACATAGTTCTCTTAGCTTCAAAATCTGTCCCCATGTTACCATTGGGTTTACTCTACACAGAGCAGACTCTGACAAAATTGCAGCGCTCCACTAATTGAGACTTGCCAGAGGTGTGTTAATAATCAATTGATTCTACATTATCTGACACAATGGAAAAATACATTAATTAATAGAGTAACCAGGGCATTTCAGGCCAGGGTGATTATATTACAGAGGCTATGGGAGGTATTTAGGAAATGTTTACTTGGCATTTTCTCCAATTTTTATCAGTAGTTTCCTCATATTCAGCTCTTCTTCCTCTTCTATTCTAAACTGACCTCTCTATCTACCCAAATAATAAAAATACAAGAATTCAGAAATCTGAACATGATGACACCCTCACAATTATCAGAATCATTTTCAGAATCCAACAGTGTACTGAATGGAAGGCAATGTGTAATCATTGCTCACAGTCAACACCATGAATATGGTGTAGTATGACTTGTGATGTCACCATTTTGTGAAGTACATTAATAGCCTTAAAAGGAAATGGCTGAGGAGTTACAATTGTTTAGAAAGGATAATCCTGTGAAGACAAGTCTGTACCTTCATAAGGGGCAGCAGGAGGGGGAAGACTTAACTACACTTAAGCTCTGGCCTATCTGATATTATTTTAGAAGAAACCTGAAAAGAATAATCCTCTTAATATTTCCTTATTAGTTAGGAACCTTGATCTGCTTTTCTCTTTGGATTATAAATTTCACAAAGTTTCTCATTTTTTTTCGAAGTAGATGTTTACATTCATTTTAAGGATTTATTTGTTTACTTATTTTTGTGTGTGTGTATGTGCGTGTGTGTGCCTGTGTGCATGTGTGTGTGCACAACATGCATATACTGTCTGTGGAACTCAGACCCCCAGGAGCTGGGGTTACTAGATGCTGTGAGCCATCTAGTGTTGGTGTTGGGAACCAAATCCTGGTCCTCTGTAATAGAGACATCTCCCCAGTCACCAAACAGAAATTTATCTACTCTTTTTATAAAATATTTTCAATATAGATATATAAAGTACTTTTATAAAATGTTTGTATCTGAATCTCACATCTTGCTATTATTATAGCCATGCTGTATCTGCAAAGACTGAGACTAAGGGTGACAGGGACTTCTTACATCTGAAGACTTGTAGAAGATGCCAAGTGTCCTGCTCCAGACGCGGGTCACTGTAGAGATCATGGTCAAAGCCTGAGTGGAAGAGGCTTGGCTCGGGTACATGCAGGAGTGAGAGAAGGGAGTGAAAATCGAGGGGACCTGGAAGGACAGTGAGACAGAGATGGGATGCAGAGAAGTGACACTTCTGGATGACCACTCAGACAACTCTTGACTTTGTAGCTATAGTCTGTCAAGGGAAGATATGAATTTTACTTTTGTCTTTAGTTTATACTTCTCATTAACTATGAGTTGAAATTTCAGCTCTTCTCTTCTGCTTTAGTTAGTTTCTAACTAACACCATGGCCACAGCAACTATTACAAGTGAAAAATATATAATATGAGTGACTTACATTTTCAGAGATTTAGTCCATTTTTGTCGTGGTGTGACATGTTGGCATACAAGCAGACATGGTGCTGGGGAAGGATCTGAGAGTCCTACATCTTGGCATGCAGGAAACAGGAAGTTGTCTGAGACACTTGGCATGCCTTGAACATATATGAGACCTCAAAGCCCACCTCTACAGTGATACACTTCCTCTAACAAGGCTGTACCTACTCCAACAAAGCCACACCTCCTAACACTGTTACTCCCTATGAGATTATATTTAAACTACCACATTTTCCCTGTTGTGAGCTGGTATGCAAGTCCCAGAATCTCTATAAGCATCAATATCCTCATGTAAATGTGGATAATCTGAGAAGCTGGGTCACCAGGTAAGTTCAATGGATACTGTATGGAAGTCAGTCAAGAGCATCAGTACCTTGGAGTGTTGATCATTCAGTGAGACCCATGACTCATGTGTAATGTGCCTGTCAAGTTTGGCTACCTAATGTCTGAGTCTTCTTCACAGCTTTGGAAACCACACATGCAGGTCATTTGTGGTGTCTACCAAATATTACTTTGTAGAAGTTTCTTTCCTGTCCAGTTCTACAGCCATTTAGTTCCAAATAAACACACAGAGGCTTATATTAATTATTAACTATTTGGTACATGCTTTTGGGTTCTTATGGGCTAGCTCTCTCTTAATCATTAACCCATTTCTATTAATCTGTGTATCTCTATGTGGTCTAGGCTTACAGGTAATGCCTAGGTCTCTTTCTTCCTTGGCATCTACATGGCATTTTGCTCTTGAATCACTCTCTCTGCTCCTCTTCTTAGCATTCTCCTAGTCTGGTAGCCTTGCCTATACTTCATGCCTAGCTATGTCCTGCCTGTCCATTGGATGAAACAGCTTTATTCATCAGCCAATACGAGAAACATATATTCACAGCATAGAGAATGGCATTCCCCATAATTACTTTATTTGAGCATATGACTGGATTGTGCTTTCATGCACTCCTCTGAGGCCTTCAAATTTGAGTTTGGCCACGTAGCTTACTTTAGCAACTAAGGTGTACGTAGAAGTGCCCCTACATTGTTCTCCATTTGCCATAATGGCCTTAAGTATTCCGCCTAGAGGCCATTTTCAATCTGTGGTCTAGGATTGGGGAGAGAGAGAGAATAATGACTCAGGACAGACAGAAGGACAGATCACTCAGTACACATGGGTTGTTGATTGAGAAAAGACAATTGAAACAAAGATCAACTTATGCCAAGCATAACATAATCAAAGCAGTTTATGGTAAGCCACCAAACTTTAGGGAGTTTCTTGTCACTGTAATATAGCATGAACTATGTTGACTTAGTCCTACAGCTGTGGATCTGAGTGAGACAGATGCCTTTGCATCTTATAGACACGTGCAGACCAGCTAGCTGCCTGCACAGCCGCCTTTGCAGCCACTTCATTTGAAGCTGGCAAGGCAATGGGTCTACCTAAGCACATTATTCAGGAGCTGGGGATGCAACGGGAGAACAATGGGTAGCTTTATTCATTCTTTCCTCTGGAAGCAGCACTGGAGAGAACTCTTGTATCTGGATCACTGGTGGAAACTGCTGCAGGGCATTGAGTCTGAATATGGAGCTCCTCCAGCTC